ATGTTTGTTGATTAATTTTCAGTCCTGCATCTCATTATAGTTAATTATTTTATTTTTCTCTTGATCTTGCTTTCCTTTCTAAATTTTCTCTTTCTGTCTGGGGTACTACCATTGATCTAGTGACTCAGACTTGTGGCTCTTTTCTCATTTTCATTGCTCATAACCAAACTGGTCAACAAGATCTGTTCATTTCATTTCCTCAATTTTACTTGGATCTATATCGCCATTCTGATGTAGGACCTAAGTAACTCCTATCTGGATTATAGCAATTGCCTTCTCATTAACCTCTCCTCAAATCTCCCTACTCCAGTCCATTCTCTCCTATAAGGCAGGTCTGACCATGTCACTAATCCTATTGACTAAACTTCTGGGGCTCACCACCTCCTGGATCAAATATAAACTCCCCTTTTTGGTATTCAAAACCCTTCATAACCTGGACCCTCCTGCCTTTCCAATATTCTTACACCTTATTCATCTCTGCATACTCTTTGATCTACTGACACTGGTCTCCTTGACATTCCTTGTACAAGATATCATCTTCCAGCTCACTGCATTTTCACTGACTCTTCTTAACATCTGAAATTCTCTCCTTCCTTATTCCAATCTCCTGCTGTCCCTGAATCCCTTCAAGACACAGCTAAAATTCCACCTTCTACAAGAAGCCTTTCCTGATGATCTCATTTAATGATAGTATCTCTCCCCTTTTGATTATCTCCAATTTATCTTGTATAGATCTTGCTTGTACATAGCTGTATTAATGATATCTTTCCATTAGACTGTGAACTCATCAAGAGGAGTAGCATTTTGTGCCTTTGTCATACACAGTGCTTAGTACATTGCCGGACACTACTATGTGTAGGATCATGTAGGTATGAAGGATCAAACAATTGCCAGTCATATCTTCCTTTTACACAGATTTAGTCATGTCACTTCTATGCTCAAAGCCATTCAGTTTCCTTGCATGAAAAATGCATGTGCCTTTAATTATTATTAAAGGTTTTACATAATCAGATGTCATCCTACCATTCCAAATTAATCTTAGACTACTCTCTTCTACATACTATGTATTTTATCCAATGGAATTATTCACTAGCCATTATCCAAGTCTTATAACTCTAACCTTCATGTTTCTTCTCTCGATCCCAATGTCTAGAATATTCCTCCTACTCCCTTTCAACTTGTGTAATTCTTAACTGTCCTTCAACCCAACCAAAATGATGCCTGCCACTTCTAGAAAGTCTTCACTTGTCACTTTATCCAGTAATGGTACTTTCCCTTTCAGATTTTACATAGCCCTTCATTTGTATCTAATGTGCTAATCATGTTTTATTTGTATTATTGCTGGCTGTGTATATAACTCACAACTCTACTGGAGTAAGAGCTTGATGAAGGCAGGATATTTTTTGTTAACTATCTCACCATACATTTAGCAGAGTGCTCTGCTAACTAGCCAACTCTGTTTATAATGTCTATGTCTCTAAGGCCAGACTTTTTATGTTTACCTTTTTTGTTTGTTTGTTTTTTGGCTTTGGATATACTCAAATGTGTGTGAATTGCTAATCTCTTCATTTTTAAAAATTATCTTAATCATCAAAATCTAGCAGCATAGCAGATGGCAAAAATGAATGTCAAAACTGTGGTTGCTTCTTTTTTCATCTCTCCCCTCTCCTTGAACTGCTTAATTCAATAAACTACTTCCCCTTCCAACTTCTTTTGATCAGCTACTATATGAAAATACATTATCCAAATGAATTAATGCCTATGTAACTACTTTGAGGAATCTCTGAAGTATATAAATGTGTGTTATCAAATATAAATTGGTTAAAATGATTATATACTATCATAGATGTAGAGCTAAAAAGGAACATTAGAGATGATTTAGTCAACTCTCTCATTTTACAAATGGGAATACTGAATCCTTGAAACCTCCCCAGTTTTACATAGTCTATATATAAAAGCTAGGATTTGACCCCAGGTCTTTTGATGTGAAATCTAGTGCTTTTCCCAATGCATTATGTTGTCTCTTTTCATGAAGTAAGGGTAAAAAATAAAAATTATTTATGTCTTTATAAGAAAGCCATTTTATATCCAACTGATGTTACTTCAACCTGAGAAAATTGTGATGCCAATTATTTTAAGTAGCACAGATCCTTGTTTAAAAAAGTATGTATTTCTAATATTTTGCATACTGTTTGAAGCCAGATGAATTTTTTTCATTTAAATCTTACCCAACCTTTAGTTATTTTTGTCCTAAGAAAGATATGACTTGCATTTACACAAGATTATATTTTGTAGGTACTCTTAAAAAATAATAATAATTGTTCCACACTTAAAGAGTAGCCACATAGCCAAATGAGGGATAGGATATTTCAAGAGACTGTATCTTGTAAGGACTCCAGTAAACAAAAAATTGTTCATGACTATGATTAAAAAAAAATCTTCATAGAATTTCAGCCATATATGATAGATGTTGAAGTTAAATTGGTACCATTTCAGTTAAGAAAGAACACACACATGTCACATTATCACAATGAGCGTCTCTCAAGTATAACTACACTGAGGGAAGTCAATGGGCTGATTTCTTTAACATTATTAGACTTGATCCCAAAGACCCTTCCAGCTTGTCTTCTTTCACATTACATGCTGGTGGGAAGAGTAAAGACATCCAAATTCCAATATTTTGAAGAAATGTGTATTTAACAATTGAATACATGCTAAAAGAAATAATTTACAGCAGCAGTTTCATTTACATTTTGTCTCCAGTTCTCTAGTTCCCATCTGAAATGCAGTGATAAATACAGAGATGGAACATTTTATTATCTGGCAAAGAACATGCTTAGTGAATGGGCACACATCTTCTGCTCTTAAATAGCACATAAACCACCTTATCACCTGCATGGTGAAACCTTGCATTTTAGAAACATGTTGAACACATTGAAATGGAGTACCTATAGATAGCAGTACTTTACAGTGTACCCTCTTTTCTATTCAAAAGTATTTACATCTCTTTTGGCTAATGTGTAGGTAGCAAAAACTGAACTATTTAACACATACCATTGAAATCCACTAAATAATACATAAAATGATCATTAAATGTGCATTCACATGCATTTTCCTTTTTTTTTTTACACTTTGACTTCAATCAGGTCATGAAGGTGTAACTTTGTTCTGCACATTATCTCTCCCTTTATAGTTTTATTATGTTTCTTTTGAACCCCATAGTTTCTATGAGCTTTTAAAGCAAATCTCATTTCCAATGATCCATGAATATGCAAATGAAGGCTATTGAAACAAAAATTAATTGAATTTTTTTTGCATATGCAGACTGCCTTCTCTCAATACACTTTGGCAGAAGATTTTGACTATAAAATGAATTATTTACCTGTATAATATATGTAGAAAACCTGAAAACCTAGATCTAATGGTTTACTGAGTCAAGCCAGCCAATATTTTATTAAAGTGTAGCCTTTCTTCGGAATAGTAGTATAATGATATCAAAATGCACTCCAAATTTGGAGGGCATCCCTGGAGTTATCACACAATCTTTAGTCCTTCATATCCTTTATTTTGAAGACTAATAAGACATTGGATCCTTCTGTTATAGGAAATTCTTTTCAACTTCAAGATGTCCAAATTTAGAATGAAATTCAATACTACCTTTCTAGTATAGTTGAAATATTTTATGAAAAATGCTAGAATGACCTGTTTTCTGAAGCCCTCTTTGTTCTTTTGTTTGTAATTCATACAAGATTTTCTATAAAGAAATATATCTTGATTGTGAAATGGCACACCAACATCATATTAATCAATGAAGATTTCTAATTGAATTCAAACTATTTTTTAGCTTTTTTTGAAACACATGCCACCAAACTGATTATTCAAATTAATCATGAAGACTGAAACCTTGACTTCAACCTGTGAAATATTTCAGCTATTTAAATTCACTGTATTCTGAAGTGAGAAATTAGTGACAAGTTAATTAGAATCCCAAAACTACTGTAGTTACAACTCTGATATCATTTCATTAATTAGCAATTTTTCTCCTTTTTGAGAATTGTAAAAGGCCTAGGGATAGATTCCCCCAGAAAAGGCAATGCTATACAAAAACAGTTTTCTACTGCTAATGGTTTGATGAATCCTAAAAACAACAATTCCCAGTGAATAATGGTAAGACAATATGGTAAACAAACTCTTGACTGTGGACGCCCTTTCTCAAAGCAGTTTTAGGAAATTAGTGTTTTCATGTTTCAAAAAACTCTGTTATGTGCAAAAGTAAGTCTGGTTGAAATTTAGAGGCATGCTCATTAAAGAGAAACTATTGCACCAAGAGATGTGAATTGTGGATAGTTAGGCATTGCTGGTATTATGGGTCTCCACTGAGTTAGGCACTATTACTTCATAATCTTGTTTGAAAACGGAAGATCTCATAATGTAGTTGTTTGTCACCTTTTCATAGCTCTCCTATTTGACTCCCACTCAAATCAAGAGACAAATCTTTGCTGTGTGTGAAATATTTTGTGTGGATTTTCTACCTTTATAGACACAATTAAAAGAACACTTTTTTTCTGTTCAATTAACTGGAGATAGTGGTTACATTTTTAAGTAACACGTGCTTCATTTGCTCTTCACTGATCTGTAATAAACAATTAAGATATATTTTTACCAAATTCCTTGCTGTTTCTGTTGAGGGGGGTCAGGAAATTATAGAGTTGACATTTATTAAAGGTAATATTTAGAGTGGGGAGGGAGTGAAAGGCTTCTGTTCTTTTTCTTTCAACAGAGAACTAAGGCATACTTTATACTTGGGTTTTAGGGATTAACTGTTTAAGCTATATTCTGTATAAAACATATGGGCTGTCTCTGTGACTTGGCTGAAAAATGTTCCAAATGAGAAAAAAAAAGCAGCACACAATTGGAATTTTAAAACAATAATTAGAAAGTACAATATTTGTAAGACAAAAGCCTATTCTAGTTTAGAAAAGAGCTAAGTTTTACTGCATATTTGTCATGGTACATTTAAATTATAGTTTTAATAAAATACATCTTTAGATCAAAGCTGAAAGAAGACATCAGTAGTAGATCAGTGTATTCCACTTTCTTTCTGGATGATGGGTGGTTTACGCTTTTCATATTTCCACAGACCATTTCATTCGGTATCATTTTACTCCTCCAGTACATATAAACAAGAGTGTTGGTAGATAAAAATTATCCTTGTGTCCAACCAATTTTGGAATATTAATCAGCTTTGTAAATCCATGCAGGTTTTTTTTAAATGCTTAGTTCAATAAAAATGGCATTGCTGATGTCAGTTTTCCTTCTTTTAGAGGACAGTATGGCAAATGACACTTTTAAGTCTCAGGCAAAGAAAGCAAAACCTGTACAATGGAATCTTTGTAGGAAACATTGTCAGCTAAATTGAATATCTATGTTCATCTTTGAATCTCCATTAAATGTTGGTATCAGGAAAGGAGTCTGTTAGGAAAGTTAGTCATGAACTTAATTTATACTTGGTGGAAATCAGTTGGACTTCCTACTATTGTAAACATCCACATAATGCCATGATAAAGTTCATGTATATTGCATTTTTTCCAGTTATCTGTCTAAACAAGTTTCTACTTAGGTGAGGTTTCCAGAGGTAATGCAGTTCAAACACTCCTGGGTGCCCTCTCAAATTCGTGGGTCCTCCTATTTCTACCTTTCTTATTTTCTTGTAGGTGTTTCCATTTATTACTATTTGCCTGAGAATTGCCCGGTCTCTGTCTCCGTTGTTTTCGGTCCCTTTTCCAAACTTGTTCACAGAACTCATCCATTGTATTGAGGTTGGGATGGTTGATGAGTTGCATGAAGTCTCTATACCAGACCTTCTGATTGGGAGTCATGCTATTTGAAATATCCTTGGACTTAGAACTATCACCATCATCGTCTTTATGAAGAAGCTCTTCTAAGTGATCTGTGTCAATGACTTCTAAGGTCACCTTAAGAAGAGTTTGCATGAAGCCATGTTCCACTGCATGACAGAGATAAGTGCCTGAATCTTTCCTTTGTAGACTACGTAGCAAAAGGCCTTGTTCAGTTTTGATGATACGGTCATCCACTCTGATCTGGTGAGTGACAAAAAAAAAAAGCATTTGAAATCTCATCAATGGCATTTCAAATTCTATTTTTTTTAAACATACTATGATAGTAAAAATATCTCAATGGGAATGGTATACACTATACTTCTCTATAGAATAAAATAGGGCAATTATTACCATCCAATGCAAATGGAGATTTTTATTCAATATGAGGCCTAGTTGTGTTTTATAAAGGTTTTTATTATTGTTATTTTATATTTATAATTATTTATATAAAAGTTTTATTTTTTGTAAAATAACACTTCTTACAGTCAAAATAATAGATGAAGGAATTGAAGATTTTGTTTTCCTAAAACACAATGTTAATGGAAAGAAATATTATTTGGGGTGAAGGGTAATGTTGCAAGTTTAGTTTGGAAACAGGACAGTGATACTGGAGTTCATGTTTGGGCAAAACCTGCTCAGTAATAGATTTGTAATAAGATAGACTGAAAGGAGTACTTTAATAATTGAGGGAATCAGAGCTGAGCCAATAGAGGATAAACCATATTAGGTAAATTTTTTATTATTGATAATAATAATAATGACGATGATGATGTTGATAACTATCTCATCAGTTAAAAATATTTTAAGTTTTAGTAATTCTAATTATAAATATGTGATTTTGAACAAATCAATTATCTATTTTATAATAATAATTTATTTAATTTATAAATATAAAACCAATATTAACAATTACTTAATATATCATCTACCTAACATACATAGCACAGACTAAAAGACTGTGCTTGATATTTCAGTGAGGATATGGGGAGCAATTTTTTTCCCTCTATGGTTTTTTCTCTACTGTGTGATTATATTTCTACTGTTTAATCACCCTTCTAAAGACATTTTTTCATCTAACACATTTTATCCATCAGCAAAACCATCTAGGTATTGATAGTGATTTTTTTTTCAAAAGTTTTTGAAGGTCTACCATATTCCCTGAGCTTTCTGGTGGGAACTAATTTATAAAGACAAAAATGGTCATGGTCTGTAACAGGCCTTCTTGTTAATTAGATGTTTGATTTTCTCAAACTGGTGTCTTTGCGTTATCTAATACAACAGATGCTTCTTCAACTGCATTTCTCTCATAATCAAAGGCTCAACGGAATAATATGAAGATATATTAGATCTTAACAATATAGTCCAATGATATTAGTTTCAGCATTTTGCATAGTGCATTTCATTTGAAGAATACAACCTATGTTAGCTTTCCTCTTACAAGAAAATACAATGATCAAAGGAAGAATTCCAGAGAGTAAAAGTATGGCTGAACAACCAAATTTCTTATACAGTGATTACGAATAGTTAGAGAGTTTAAGTAGGTGGGATATATATTGGACAAAATATATAATGGAGAGAGGGGATATTAACATTAAAATTTGTTCTGGGGGATAACTATGTGAACAAAAACCAGCTTAGGGAATTAGTTACATTAAAGGGAAGTGTTCTTATGAATTTTCTGATTATGCTAGTAAAGATAAATCGATGGATTCTGTCCTAACGTTCTATGATTACTTATTGCTTAGCTTTCCTTTTATGTGTGTGTGGAGGGAATAAACTCTTGGTTTCATACCTGATTCATGTTTGTACAATAGGTAACTTTCATACTTCCCCTTCTTCTCTGGGGAAATTTTAGATTAGAGCCAAAAGCAGCATGATTGTAATTAACAACTAGTGAGGATAAAGTGAAGGTTAGGAACCAATAAACCCTGGGCAAGCCTTGGACGCAGGCAAAGGATAACAATTAATGAAGGTTGTCTGGGTTTATGGACTCAGCAGAAAGGTAGCTAGCTAGCCATTATACCTGTATTATCTCTCATTTGGCATTTAAGACTTGACAGTTTGGCCCCTTCCTATTTTTCTAGTCTTTTTACATGTTAATTTCCTTCACAAATGCTGTAATCCAGCCATGCTGGCCTGCTTGCTAATCTTCACACATGACACTCCATCTCCTATCCTCACGCCCTTGTATCAACTCCCCTCCATTTCTAGAATATTCTCCTTCTTCATCTCCCCTTCTTAAAATACCCAGCTTTCTTCAAGTATGAACTCAAGTCCCACTTAGTTCAGAAAGGCTTTCTTTCACTGCCTCAGCTCTCAATGTCTTTCCTTCTGAGGTAACCTTCCAATGACTAAGAATATATACCTATCTTTACCAATTTATGTATATAATTCCTTTCCCCATTAAAACGTAAGCTTTATGAGGGAAAGGAAAGGACTATTGCTTTTTTTCAATCTATCCAAGTTATCACAATGCTTTTCCTATGCTAAGTAGTTATTAAATGCTTTTTGATTGATTATTTGATGATTGAAAATAGGCCATGTATGATAGTTCTAAAATTTTTCATAAGGTAAAAGAAATACGCTAGATAGGTTTCCCATTATGGCAAATGAAGGGAAATTATTAAGGAAGACATTGATAGTAAAAGTTGTGTTGGAGAATAAAATCTTTTATATTCTTGTACCTCTTCTTTCCGTTCCTCATTTTGCCTCTGGAATTGCCAATATACTAGAGCACGTTGAGACTTGGGGCTGCACTCCAAGAATGTGCTACTGTTTTCTACTCCATAGATGATTTTTTCTTCAAAACCATGGCCATTGTAGTTATCTGTCAGTTGATAAGAAAAAAATGAAATGAAATGGGGGGAAAGTAAGAAAATGATCCTCAATTTCCAAATGCATTTACTTCTTCAGAAAATCGCTTTTTATTGTCAAGCTCATATGATATTCCAAACTGATTGAGAGTAGTGGTGAATGTAAAGCACACAGTAATAAAGACCTGAAAATTGAGCTTCCTACTTATGAAGACAAAATCAGTTTTGTTTGGGTTATACGAAGCACATAGGCAGAGAGGTAATCTGCTAGAAAGCAATATTTTATTAGCACAATGCTGTGTAGAATACAACTATATATGCCATAAGAAATGTATGTATGAAAGTACTTTCAATGCAATACCTTATGATATGGAGAAGTGACCAGAAGGAATTTAACCACATAGGCAGGGATTTGATCTATTGCATCTTTGTTTGCTAAACAAGAGGTGGTCTGAGGCTGCCAGGAAGTTTATAATAAACAACAATTGCCCCTAAATACTTCATAGGTTTGTTGGGAGGCCAAACGTGGGAAAGTCTTTGAATACTTCAGAAGAGAGTTACTGTTATGATGTAACTCAGCTCTCCACTGGAACTGGTTATAAATATTCTTTTATTATACTGAGGAATTAGTGAATTGGAAAAAAAGACCAAAAAAAATTCAAATAATACATAATAAAAGTAGAGGAAGAGGAAAACCAGTTTCCTAAGAAAGGTTCTATTATTTTACCCTTGATATAACCTCCTTCAGTGTGGTAAATGAAACACATTTAAGATCAACGGTATCACATGGGGAGATGCTTAGTAAAACTCATTTGGAAAAAAAGATTCTTTTTATAATCTTGTACAATTCTGTTTCCATTAGGATACTTCACAAAATCTGCACCTGGTTAATTTAACTGAAAAACAGTCAAAATATTTTTACATACAAGACAAGCTGACTTTGCAGAAATATGAAAGAAATATTTACTATCTCCCCTGCAGGTGAGCTCTTAATAATAAAATAATATTTTCTTGTCTAATTTTGGCAATGCTACTCTCTCATCAGTTACCTATTGTGTTTCTTATCAGATTTAAACTTCTCATGCTGAGTTTAAAGCTTCTCTAAAAAGATCATCTCTGTTATCCTTCATTCTGTACTCCAATTTTCAACATATTGCACAGAGTACTCACATTTATATAGTGCCTTAAGTTTCCCAAAGCATTTTCTTTACAACATCTTTGGGATGGAGGTATCCAAGTATTACTTACTACTCCCATTTTTCCTTTTTTTTTTTTTTAAGGCATTTGGGGTTAAGTGACTTGCAGCTAGTAAGTGTCAAGTGTTTGGTCTGAGACTGGATTTGAACTCAGGTCCTTCTGACTTCAGGGCTGGTGCTCTATCCACTGCACCACCTAGCTGCCCCTACTCCCATTTTTCCAGAGGCAGAAACTAAAATTCTAAAAATGTGAGTGAGTTGTTTAGGGTTACAGAGCAGGTAAGAACCCAAACTGAGATTCAAACCCAGATCTCTCAATTTCCAGGTCCAGCACTCTATGAACTATGTCATGTTGCCTATAGTCTCAAATAAACCAATGATCCTAAATTGTTTTTTTCCCCCAACTCCAGCTTTCATGCTTTAAAAAAAAATTGTCTCTCCAAAGTGTGAAGTTCCTTTAATATATATTTATCTGAACCCTTTTTTTCACATAGCAAATTTAACTCATGAGAAAAAAGTAAGATCTATGAAACATTACTGTAAATATATTGTCTTAAAACTATATAGGGTACACCATCCTTTGACACATTCATTTCTTGAATAACTACTCTTCCCAACTTCATCTTCTTAAGTACTACTGATATTTCTTTATCTCTAGGTATATAGTGGTAGAATCCAAATGTAGTGGTTCTTCTATCATTTTCAATATGCATATTTTGGTACAACACCAAAAAATCTGGACAAGGAGTTCTATTAAATGCTCTCAGGATCATCTAGCTCAATAGGTGTTACCCCAGCCTTTCTATCAGTTACTCTATAAGGACCCTGAGAGCTCGATGGATTTGATATATTGAATACCTGTTGGGGAGTTAGAAGAGTTTCCTAGATATGAGTTATCTCTAAGCATTATTCAGGAGATTTCCCTGGATTAAAGAACTGAGGTGGGGCCAGAACCAGAAAGAGAAATGATCCCTTTGGGCCAGGTCCCCAGGGAGTCCATGGAGAGTGAGGATAAAACTTATTCTTTGTGTGAGATAATACCATTTCCAATTTTCCCTCCAGCTCCTCCTTGAAGTTTTGCAAATAAGCTTTTGCTGTAACCCAATGTTACATGGCTGCCCACCTCATTTGACTGCAAGGATATAGAGTGTTTGCTGGCTAAAGCAATTTCTAGACTCCTGACTTTCTTGCATTGGTTACTATTTTGCATTTGTTAAACTTCTCTAAAAAACTACTTCCTATTTTTGTAATTGGATAGTCTGTAGTTATTCCTAGTGTTTTATCAATCCATCATCAATAAATATATATTAAGTTCCTACTACATGCCAGGCACTATACTAAACGTTGGTGATACAAAAAGAGGCAAAAGATAGTCCCTGTCTTCAAGGAGCTTACAATTGAATGGGAGACAACATGCAAACAAATATGTACAAACAAGCTATCTACAGGATAAATAGGAAAGAATTAACAGAGGGAAGGTACCAAAATAAAGAGGAGGTGAGGAAGGTTTCCAGTAAAAGATGAGTTTTTATTTGGGACCAAAAACAAGCCAGAGAAGTCAGTAGTTGGAGCAGAGGAGGGAATATTTCAGGAGTAGGGGGAGGGGGAAGACTGTCAAAAAAACAATTTCTGGAGCCAAGAGGAGTGACATTCTTATCTTAACTTTTTTTTTTTGATTCGGCAGATTTTGATTAATCCTCTAACCAGTCAACAATCTACACCAGGAGTGGGGAACCTGTGGCCTTGAGGCCACTTGTGGCTCTCTGGGTGATCAAGTCTTGCCCTTTGACTGAATCCAAACTTCACAGAACAAATCCCCTTAATAAAATAATTTGTTCCATAAAAGTTGGACTCAGTCAAAAGTCCATACCTAAGGAGCTAGAAGGTCACATGTAGCCTCGAGGCCACAGGTCCCCCACCCATGGTCTATATAAAGAGAGCTACATGTTAAGTCATAATCAATTTCATAGTGTTGTTGTGTTATTTGGTGCACAGTATACAAAAGCCTTTGCCCCTTTCATTTCCTGATCCTTCACCATATTTTCTAACAGTTTCTAAGAGTGCCATTTGTCCCAGTACCCAACTTTACACCAAAGTTAGCAAGTGTTGCAATAAATGTTGACTTGCTCAGAGCTTTGTGTCAGGTTGTTCAGGTGCTTTCCCTACTACTTAATCTTTTGCAGAAGTTTGTACAAAGGTTGTAATATTCATGATCTTCAGTTTGCTTGTGTTCATCATGAGCATTCTAAAGTAAAATAAGCAAATGTTCCACAGGATGAGGTCTCTTGTTTCTTTTGAGTTCATGATGAAACCAACAATAACAACCCTCTTGTTTGCCCTTCCAACAGAACCTGTAAATTAGCCTTCTACTTACTACAACTTGTTTTAGTCTTCTGATTAATTCAATTAGTCAAAAAGCACATATTAAGTGCTTACTATGTGATAGGCATTGTGCTAAATGCTGCGGATACAAAGAAAGGAAAAAAATATATATTCCCAGCCCTCAAGGAATTTATATCCAAATGGACAAAATTTGAAGAACTATGTACATACAAAAAACATGCAAAGTAGATGGAAGGCAATCCAAAAAGGTAAGACATTCTAATTTCCTTTATAGCAACACTGTCATTTTGAAGGTGTTTGAGTTCTTCCATGAATGTATTATTTCCTTGATTGCTGGACAAAGATCTCACATAGAGTGCCAACAACTAAATTAATGTTTGTAGGCGTTCTGTACTCTGTGGGATTCTTAGCATTCCTTTTGCCTTTCGTTACGTGTCTTCCACCATCATTGCAGAGGGGTAGCAGTGGACTTGGAAGGACCAAAAAAACTATCTGCTACTCTAGGCCCCATTGGTTCAAAGCTACAAGAGCCTCAGTGTCTGGAAATTGTGAGTTACAGCACCCCTTACTCTCACATGATACAATTAGGGATCAGAGAGAGCAAGCTGTGATTTTATTGGTCAAGGCAACTCCCAGGTGAGGAAACACTTTATCAATTTGTTTGTTCAATCATTTTCAGTTGTGTCTGATTCTTTGTGACCGCATTTGGGATTTTCTTGACAAAGATACTGGAGTGATTTGCCATTTCCTTCTCCAGTTCGTTTTACAGATGAGGAGGCTGAAGTAAACAGGGTTAAGTGACTTGCCCAGCGTCAATGCTAATATGCAGGTCAGCATTTCCACTCCACCATTAGCTACCTGGATGACTGAGAATTTAAGCGATTTGCCCAGGTAACAGAGCCAGTATGTATTTTTTAGCCCATGTCTCCCTAGCTCAGTGCCAGCTTTCTCTCCCCTCTGCAATGATGGAGCTCTAATATCCCAGTAGTGTAGTAGTTTCGCCACACATGCCACCTTAGAAATATATAGCCAGAGGATAGTATTCATCCAAATATACAATAGGTTTTCAGCAAATATCCAGTAAGCACATTTTCTTGAGAGTTTCAAAAAAGATCATTTGGTTAACTCTTACTTAGATTATGTCCATACAATTAGAAAAATAATGCCCTGATAAGTGGAGGAAGAGGGGTAATTAACCAATGATTGAGTCATGGTAGATAACAAGTGATCTCTCATACTACATAATCTCAGAAATACTTCCTAGGTACACAGAGTGGAATGAGTGATAGAAAGTATCCTGAGCTATTATTTAAATCTGTCTCTAGTAGCATTAAACTATCTCCTAGCCAGTGGGCAGTTGCCCAATTTGTAAAGATTTCTAAGGAAGGAAATTCCACAACCCCTCTCAGTCATCCACTGAGACATATATTTCACACTTAGAAGAAATCGGTTTTGGATGCAAACTTTTATGATGA